TGGGGCTGGAACAAAACGATTTTAACCTGTTCTCTTTCTAGCAGAAAAACTCAAAGATTTTTCAGTGATTCTTACGACAAATAGTCTTCTCTGAAAAGCAGGAGAAAAGAAACTGAATTGGTTTAGTGTTTTTAGATATTAAACATTTTCTGGGATGGACAATTATGCTGTTACACGATTTGGACCTGGTATAGCGCGTTGTGTATTTTGGTCATTGACAGTCACCATGCAATGTTACTAATTTTCTCGTCAAACATTATCTTACATATTTATAAGTCTACCATTCATTCTTGCTTTGAATATTGCTGCCACATCTGGTCTGGTGCTCCTGTTATATATTTAGCGATTCTTGACAAAATAATAAGAATCTGCAATATCATTGGTGCTGATCTGGCATCTCAGTTCCAGTGGCTTTCCTCTGCCTTTTCGATAAATATTTTCATGGTAATTGTTCTGATGGACTTTCATCTGTGTTACCTAGACTTTACTAATTTAAGTGCAGTACTAGATTGACGGCAAGGTCTCATCATTTTAAAGTTGAAATGGTTAGATGTAACCGTCACTTCAATGTTAACAGTTTCCTTTCTCGCACTTCTCGCTTGTTGAACTCTCTTCCGGCTTCTTGCTTCTCAGTCAACTTTGATCTTCAAAAATTTAAGTGCAATGTCAATCGTTATCTTCTTCTTTCTCCTTGCGTCCTGGGTAAGACGATAAACTACGTCCAACAGCAAGTCCTCTGACTAGCAGGTTTTAAGGAACCACCTCTTTATTGCTGGTGTTCCCAGGTCCACCTGACCCGGGGTATTTGTACCTGTTAGGGTCCAAGCTATGGGTAAATAGTTAACCCCCAAACTGGGGTCAAAACACTATGAAAATGTAAAAATATGTTTTAATATCAGAAATTATTTATTATTACAAGCAATACATTTTTGAAAAAAAAAATTACCAGCAATACATTTAAAAAAAAGATATTACCAGCTATATATTTTCGAAAAAAAAATATTACCAGCGAAGGAAAATTATTACCAGAAAAAGATTTTTGAAGGAAAAGATATTACCAGAAATAGATTTTTTGAAGGAAAATATTACTGGAAATAGATTTTTGGAAAAAAAAAATATTGCCAACAATGAAAATTTTGTCGGCATTAAATAACCCATTGAAGTTGATATTTCGTAAAACAAAACAGACCAAACCAAAGCAATCCTCTCTCCTTAATAGTAGTTTTTCTCATATTCTCTAACACTCAGTCATCCCTTGCTGCATTACAAATCAAATTTAAATTGATTGAAATTATTTTCTTTTATAACTTATTCAACGTTCTCTTGATGGTTCTTGAATGGTCTTTGAATATGGAAGCCAGAGTCTGTATGTTGGTACCATTACTGAAGGCCGGAATGATATTTTTCCTCTCACCATTACTCATTTGGAAAGACAGAGTGGGGCTGACATAAAATGATTTTTGACCTGTTATCTTTCTAGCTGCTTTTTTTTTAGTTATTCTTATGAGAAATGGTATCAATATGGCTAAACGTCTTCTCTGGCATTAGAATCTATATTTCTAAAGTCAACTCTCTGGTTAAGGTACATAGATGACACTTTCATACTCTGGCCACACCAGGAAAATGTCCAGGTTCTACTGGACCATGTGAACTCAATAAGACCTTCGATACAGTTCACAATGGAGAAAGAAAGTAACAACACACTCCCATTCCTGGATGTTCTAATATCTCGAACAGAGCATGGGTTTAAGACATCCGTATACCGTAAACCGACATTCACCGGACAGTACCTCAATTTCAACTCCCACCATCCATACACCGTAAAGAAAAGGGATCGTCCGCTGCTTACAACACCGAGCAAAAGTCATAAGTGGCGACCCAGAGACATTGGATAAAGAATTGGTCAGTATAAGTAGTACCCTACAACGTAACAACTACCCTGGGCACATGGCAACCAAAAAAAAAACTGGGATAGGCGGGCACAAGAGGAGGAGGACAACAACACTCAGAAAACAGTCTGCCTGCCTTATGTGAAGGGGTTATCAGAGAAAATACAAATGATCTGCGGTCCATATCTCATAAGGACAACCTCCAAAAGCTTGGCGACACTTCGCAGATATCTCTCCCGAGTAAGACCCTCCCCATAGAGGGGAACATGACTAAATCTGTGTGTACGTTATCCCGTGCAGCTGCGGAAAGGAATATAGACAGGCCTCCCCCTCAAGGTAAGGCTTCAAGAATACCAGAAAGCTGTAACACAAGGGGAAGTGAAAAAATCAGGCGTGGCTGACCACATATGGAGAGAGACAGGAGATCACCGCCCTCTGTGGGATCAGGTTGAGATCATAGACAAAGAAAACCATTGGGAAATTCGTAAACTTAAGGAATCAGCACATATGCTAGGCCACAGAAATCTTCTGACCAAGCATAGAAATAAATACAATATGGGAACCAGTAAAAAGGAGTGTCAGAGAAAAGCGATAATAACAACAAAGTTGCAATATGAGCTCAGGTAAAAATATGTAATGATAACAGCAAAAATTGCAATATGAGCAATTGTAAAAAAAATCGTTGCTGAAGACATTAGGCTTATAATGCCCAGAAATTCATACACAGATGTCTTCAAGGACAGTACTGTGGATAAAAGTGTAAGTTAGATCCAGTGACAGGACCCAAAGAGTGTGAGTTCAATACCCGGTTAAGGCAGTGGAGAACTTTCAGTGGGAAAATGAACTGGAGATAACTGATAACTGACATCCATTAGACATGGCATGTGGAACTAGAACAGCCTACCCCAGTGAGCGAAATAAAGGGTTCAGTTCGACATTCCAACCACCTGAATAAGGCCGGAGCGTACAACGGCTGAAACGCTGTAATAAATATGGCGACAAAGATAAGGACAATAGTCCGAATAATGTAAATAATGTATATATATTAGCGTTTTTGAAAAGAAAGAAATTCAAATGTTTAAATGTTATTAAAATAAATTATATTATTATATAATGTATATAATTTACTAATAGATAGATAGATAGATAGTCACACGTTATGAAATGGACAAAGTCTGACAATTATTTTAAAAAGAATGTATAAACATAAAAAAGTCTTAAGATAGATAGATAGATAGATAGATAGATAATGAACAGGCCGGGATAGACATATAGATTGATAGATAATGAACTGGCTTAGATAGATAGATAGATAGATAGATAGATAGATAGATAGATAGATAGATATTGTGTCATCGGCATAGATACCAAGTTTAGAACTGTCCCCATCAAGGTCATTGATGAAAATTAGAAATAACTTAGATCCAAGGATCCAGCCCTAGAGGACGCCTGCATTCATGCAGAAAGATCTAGAGGAATGGCCATTCGAGACCACTTTGCTTTCCTGATTCGATAAGAAAGACTGATTTAGTTCAAATATTCGTTAAAAGGATATTTCGGACGAAAACAACAGCCCTAACTTTACCATTCTTACGTAAAGCTTGATAGACTCTTTCAACAATAGCTGTTAACATATCAACAGTTGCCCCAGAGAAGAGAAAGTTATATTGCTTTCTAACCGAAGACCCTGCGAGGCGAGACCCTTAACTAATTCAGTGTTGACTGGGACCTCTATATGTAATTCATCTTTCTTAAATCCTATTTACGTTGGTTTTTATCAGAACTTTGAAGTCTTTACTGCACAAACTGGGCGTTGTGATAAAGGTTTGATTTGGTTTGTTTTGTTTTAAGGCATATCAACCTCAATGGGTTATTTAATGCCGACAAGATTTTTAGGATAGATTCGTATGAATAGAATATGTATTCTTTGGTTTAGATTGGTTTGGTTTATTTTGTTTTACGATATATCAACCTCATTGGGTTATTTAATGCCGACAACAGAATATGTATTCTTTTGGTTTAGATTGGTTTGGTTTATTTTGTTTTAAGGATATGGGTTATTTAATACCGACAAGATTTTTAGGATAGACTATGAATAGAATATGTTTAGATTCTTTGGTTTAGATTGAATAGAATATGTATTCTTTGGTTTAGATTTTTGGTTTATTTTGTTTTAAGGCATATCAACCTCAATGGGTTATTTAATGCCGACAAGATTTTTAGGATAGATTCGTATGAATAGAATATGTATTCTTTGGTTTAGATTGGTTTGGTTTATTTTGTTTTACGGCATATCAACCTCAATGGGTTATTTAATGCCGACAAGATTTTTAGGATAGATTCGTATGAATAGAATATGTATTCTTTGGTTTAGATTGGTTTGGTTTATTTTGTTTTACGATATATCAACCTCATTGGGTTATTCCGACAACTTTTTAGGATAGATTCGTATGACTAGAATATGTATTCTTTGGTATAGATTGGTTTGGTTTATTTTGTTTTTACCGACAAGATTTTTAGGATAGATTCCAATGAATAGAATATAGAATATGCATATCAACCTCAATACTTTCAAGATTTTTAGGATTGAATAGGTATTCTTTTTAGATTGGTTTGGTTTATTTTGTTTTACGATTTCAACCTCATTGGGTTATTTAATCAACCCTCTAGAATATGTATTCTTTGGTTTAGATTGGTTTAATTTTGTTTTGCCAACAAGATTTTACCGACAAGATTTTTAGGATAGCATGAATAGAATATGTATTCTTTGGTTTAGATTGGTTTGGTTTTTTTTTTTTAAGGTATATCAACCTCAATGGGTTATTTAATGCCGACAAACATGAATAGAATATGTATTCTTTGGTTTGAATACAATATGATTCTTTGGTTTAGATTATTTTGGTTTATTTTATTTTCAACCTCAATGGGTTATTCAATGGGTTATTTTATAGACCGACAAGTTTTTTTGGTTTTTTTTTTTTTTACGGTATATCAACCTCAATGGGTTATTTAATGCCGACAATATTTTTGTCAAAATGTATCTTTGGTTTATGTTTATTTTGTTTTAATATATTTTCCGACAACATTTTTAGGATAAAAATTGTATTCTTTGGTTTAATGGTTTGGTTTATTTTTTTCAAAAAATGGGTTATTTTTACCGACAAGATTTTTTTAATAAATTTTTGGAATATGTTTCTGTTAATATATTTCCTTCAAAATTGGTACTACCCTAACAGGTACTACCACACTAGCAATTAAGAGGTGGTTTTATGCTCCTCAAAACCTCTTGATTAGAGGCCCTGCTGCTGGACGTAGTTTAACGTCTTACCCAGGATGCGGATGTAGTTTAACGTCTTACCCAGGACAAGTTGTGATAAAGAAAAATACTTAACCAGTTTTTTTTTTTTTGCTGGATCAGATTCATAGGAGCCAAGCGAAATCAGAATGTTTATCGGAATAAAAAGTGCCAGTTCGATTGAACCAATTCCTCTTTGTTTGGAATTTAGCAGCAGGCAGAATAAAAGACTAATTCGTCTGATCTTATTCTCTTCACTAAAAATCTGCTATTGATCTTCAGTCAATCCGTGAAACGCTTCGAAATAAAAGAATCTATTTGTCGGATTCGTTTTGCCTTGATTTAACAATCAAGTTTTCTGTTGTTTGGCCAACGTTTCATTGGTGCGCTTGCTTCTCCCCCCTCTCTCTCTATCTCTCTCTCTCTATCTATCTCTCTCACACACACACACACACACACTCATACACCACACACACACACACAAAAAAATTACTGAAGCCAAATAATTTTCATTCAAATCTATCGTCTGCTCATCCTCGCATCTCTTGGGGCCCCGACAGCGTTATTTAATATCAGAGTAAACTATCTTAATTTGATGTCGATATTTTTTTCAGTAAAGTGGACGCCAAGCGAGACGTGTTTTTAATTAACTTCATTACTGCTCAAACTCACGAGTGGCATAATCGTTAAGTTATATAACCGAAAATGAAATCTGCGGGCCAAGTTCGAATCCCAGGTAAGTCAACAGCGTTCAATTTTTTATACAAATGCCTTTGGGAAAGACGCAAAAACATCTTTTCTCCCGCCAGCTGGGAACTGAATAACGGGGCACACACAGAGTACCCTTGTGTTAGGTGCCAACCAGGAGAATTCCAAATTCCAAAGCGTAGATAAGGCAACGGGGAGACACTTTATAATTTTGATCATGTCATGGAAATTCAGACAGTGAAGAAATGGTGAAGCCTATGATCACCTACGATCTGAAGGGACATGGCATTAAACAAAAAAAAAAAACAACGCCAGATTGTTCACGCGGATTATAACTAAGAAATTTCAATGTAGAACAAGTGATAGAAAATCATTTCAAGGCTCCAACAATCTCCCTGATAGTCTTGCATGTGATTTGGACTCATTCAGTGGTCACATCAGATAGATACGAACAGACTTTAGATTAATAGATACGAAGGACTGAGATAGATAGATAGATAGATAGATAGATAGATAGATAGATAGATAGATAGATAGATAGATAGATAAGAAAAGATTGAGATAGATAAGAAAAGCGTGAGATAGATAGATAGATAGATAGATAGATAGATAGATAGATAGATAGATAGATAAAGAAAAGCGTGAGATAGATTAATAGATACGAAGGACTGAGATAGATAGATAGATAGATAGATAGATAGATAGATAGATAGATAAATAGATAGATAGATAAGAAAAGAGCGAGATAGATAGATAGATAGATAGATAGATAGATAGATAGATAAAGAAAAGCGTGAAATAGATTCATAGATACGAAGAATTGAGATAGATTGATATGAACAGACTGAGATAGATAGATAGATAGATAGATAGATAGATAGATAGATAGATAGATAAAGAACGATAGAATTGAAGGACTGAGATAGATAGATAGATAGAACAGATAGATAGATAGATAGATAAGAAAAAGATAGATAGATAGATAGATAGATAGATAGATAGATAGATGGATAAAGAAAAGCGTGAAATAGAAAATACGAAGAATTGAGATAGATTGATATAAGATAGAAGATAGATAGATAGATAGATAGATAGAGATAGATAGATAGATAGATAAGATAGATAAGAAAAGCGTGAGATAGATAGATAGATAGATAGATAAGAAAAGCGTGAGATAGATAGATAGATAGATAGATAGATAGATAGATAGATAGATAGATAGATAGATAAAAGCGTGATATAGATTAATAGATACGAAGGACTGAGATAGATAGATAGATAGATAGATAGATAGATAGATAGATAGATAGATAGATAAGAAAGGAAAAGAGTGAGATAGATAAGAAAAGCGTGTGATAGATAGATAGATAGATAGATAGATAGATAGATAGATAGATAGATAGATAAAGAAAAGCGAGACAGATTCATAGATACGAAGAACTTTCGTAAGGCGTGGGCTGTACTTGTGAGAACAAATTTTGGTATTTCTCTAAGACATAGGCTACCAGGTTATTCCTTCAATATTTCTATTGGAATCTTTTCCAATCAATCCGAGGGATCCAACCACTGATAAGTGCGGGGTTTTGTCTACATCAGCTTGTTTGATACGGGCAGATTATTGGCTATGAAGCGGTTTATCTGTATCTGGTCGGTTGCATTTGTCTTTGCTTTCTTTTTTTATGTATTTTCCAGGTTCAGTCGGTCTATTGTGCTTTACTTGTATTTCTGCACCCATTATTATTATTATTATTATTATTATTATTATTATTATTATTTCCTTTTGTTGTATACACATTTCCATCCTGGTCCCAAGGTCAGAAATGTCTTCATGAAATTTTCCACAGATCATTTTTGTAAAACAAAACGAAAATCTAAGATCCCACACATTTTACATAGAAAAAGCTCTTCGTAAGCTCTAAGTGGTACATGTGAGTACAATTTCTTTGTATTTCTTTAAGGCATGGGCTACCAAGAATCCCTTTAAAGTGTCTATCGGAACCATTTCCAATCAATCCGAGTGCTCCAACTATAACTGGAAGTATTGATGTTCTCAGGTCTCACATTTTTTAGATTTCCACTTCAAGGCCCTTGTATTTTGATAGTTTTTTGAAAACCTTCAAAGGTACATTTACAATCTGCAAGAACTGCCATATCAATAAAAAAAAGCACATTCTATTTTGGGTGTCTTCGATCACGATGTCTGGGTGATTAGCTGCTTTGATTGTTCTGAGTGTATTCTAAAGTCATATAAAATTGTTATAGGCTCAATGTCTGTAACCGGGCTTGGGTGCTGTTTATACCAATTCCTTGCAGTTTAATTCCCGTAAAAATTGCTGATATTCCAATGCAAATATTGGCCCATTCTGTCATGCCGAGTTTTCTCTTCAGTGGTTGCCAACACCGTGCAACCTGATACATGATTTTCTGGATATATTTCACAGAAACTACATTTTGGATTAGCATATATTTTCATTATGGTGTGCCTGGTAATTTCTAGTCGAAAACTTCTGCCCCCACTTGAAATTCTGTTTTGAATACGTTGGCTTCCTTTATTACGGAATAATGTCTTTATTATCTCGTTCATATTCTTTGACACAGATCCTCATCCAGTCTTCTGTACTTCCCAGGTATCTTTGAAGGCCAATTGTTGTAGTTTTGTAAGACATTTCTAGTTGAACTAATCCTCTACCTCCTTCGGATCTGGGAACATACAGAAGATCAACGTCAGCCTTGGGATAATGCATGCTGTTGCAAGTGAGAAGTTTTCTCGTTTTGGCGTCCATTCGCTTAATGTCAGCTATGGTCCAATTAAGGATGTTAAAATATTTATTGCACTAAATGGACAGCCAAAGTGTTAGTGGTTGATATTCTGTTTTTGAATTCAACTCGGTATGTAATACCAGACACACACGCCTGTATTATTTTTCTTACTTTCTCCTTCATCTGATGATGCAATATTCCATCTCTTTCGCTGCATTAGGTGCATTATGGTTTATTTGCTCTTCTTTACCCATTTGAAATTCTCTTTTGAATTTGTTGGCTTTCTTTATTACTGAATAAAGTTTCTTATTTCCTTCATGTTCTTTGACACAGATCATCATCCAGTCTTCTGTAGTTTCTAGGTATCTTTGAAGGCCAATTGTTGTAATTTTGTAAGACAATTCTAGTTGAACTAATCCTCTGCCTCCTTCGGATCTGGGCACATACAGACGATCAACATCAGCCTTGGGATGATGCATGCGGTGGCAAGTCTTCTTGTTTTGGCGTCCATTCGCTTAATGTAAGCTCTGGTTCAATTAAGGATGTTGAAATATGTACTGCACCAAATGGACAGCCAATGTTTCTCTGGCTGATATTTTGTTTGCATAAATTCTGATATTAAGTGGTAATTAATATGTACAGTGTTTATATTTTCTTTAAAGATGTACAGAGTTTATATTTTCTTTACATGGATAATATTCTCCTGAGTTCCACACCGTGCAATGTTTGTATCTCATATAAACAGGAACTTCCCTGAATCTTGTTAATGTTAATAGATTTTTCGGTCGTACCCAGGGCTCTAAGTTTTATAGATAATACAATAGTTCTAATGTGCCTATAGATTTAAAGAATCGTTTGTTTTCTTTATAAATGGACTGTTTTTAGGGGTTTTTTTTTAAATTTTCTCATGGTAGTTAATAAACTGCTTCATCCAGTTAAATGTAGTCTCTAGTTATTTTTTAAACCGTTGCAAAATGTGCCCAATTCGTCTAAAATCGGCGGCAACCAAAATTTACGCCTGTAGAGGACGAGTCGACATTGTCAGTAGGGGTAAAAGGAGACGTAATAAATTCCATGCGTTTTATATAAGAGTAACAAAGGAGAGAAAATACACACATATGCATGCTAAAGAAGGAAGACAATAAAATTTAAGAAGTGAATGAGACTGGTTTGCTACAACGCGCTTGCTATGGAGGGTTTTAGCTGTGAAAGTTAGAACTGATGAAACTAAGAAATGTAGTTCGCCTGAACACTTGCCATGGAAATAGCGATATAGAATGGAAGAGGTTTCTTCTGTGAAAGAGTGACCGTATGGTGGAGAATAATACGTCAGTCACAAGGACATTATAGAGACTGGAAAGTGAAGACTGAGCAGTTCCAATCCATATATGGCAACATTACTCCATGTTTAACCTAATCTGGTTCTTATAAAGATAGATAATGGCAGGAACAGTCAAGTAAAAAAGGTTACGATACAGAGAACAGACAATTTTTTTAGCGGTGGATCGTATGAATGTGTGTTACACTTGAGGTCCGGGCTGAGTTTAAGAACTAAGACTCGCTCAAGGGCCGGAACCTCCATTAGGGAACACACGTAACAATAAGAAGAAAAGAATTGATAAATGGAAAACAGGATAAAGTAGAAAAGGAAAAATGAAAGA